TCCTCCCCTTCCTCCTCCCCCCCTCCTCCTCTTCCTTCTTCTTCTGTTACTGGCACTGCAGTGTGTGTAGACAGGCAAGGATTCTTGTGACTCATGAGAAATGGAGACTCTCAGAGGGAGATGGTTTCCTCAGAGTCACACAGCAATCTGGCATTGAGGACCAGATGAGGACTGGGGTTCCTGATTCCTAAGGTCTCTGCTAAAATGGGGGTTTGGGCACACGGTCAGTGCTTAGTGAATATGTGGTGACTGAAGGAAGTGTCCTTAGCAGTTGCTTGAAGGACAAGCTTCCATGCTGAGAAAACTTTAGAGCAAAAATGAACTTTCTTGGTGGATAAACTGAGGCACTCATGCATCCCTGGCCCTAAGTGACAGCAGAATCTAGGAGAAACAGTAATAACGACTTCCTTATTTGGGTGGACAATACCAGGCGCTTTACACGGATAGTTGATCTTCACCTTGGAGTCTCAGCAACTTGCCCAGAGTCAACAGCCAGGCATGTGGAGCTGGACCCTGACCCTGGAGGCCCGACTCGCCRTCCACCCTGTTCCCGTCATGCTGAGTGAGCCGGGGGAGGGAGCCCAGGCCAGCAGGGGCATTTCCTTCCTCTGGGCCTGGCCTACTCCCGCTCTCACCTCCTCCTTCTCTCCGCCCTGCAGGTCTCTCCACTCCTCGATGGGCTGGCCAAGGTCCACGGTGTTCATGGGCACCTTTACCTCTCCAATGATGTCATGTTTGGAGAAGCGGTCAAAGTCGTAGATGGCCATCACCAGGGTTTTGCCCCCAAGCTCCTGGTATGGCACCTGTCGGGCACAAGTGGGTCAGAAGGCGAGGCTGTGGGCAGGTGCCTGAGTCCCTGCTCCAGCCATCCCTCGGGGCTCCCAGCAGTGCTCAGAGACAGAGAGGAGATGGGGGCCTGAGGGAACAGTAGGAGGGAGCCCCATCCTCCACAGAGGTCTACGGGGACTCCATGTAGCCTACACCTGCCACTGTTGGATTGAGCTGGTCCCAGGGCCCCAGCCATGGCTAAGCACCAGGGAAAGGTCTGCAGAACCCAGAGGCAGGGACTGAGCCATTCTCCTGTCCTCCTCACCTTGAAGGTGAAGGTCTCATTGAAGGCAGGGTTCAGGGTCTTCCGATGGACTTTGGTCTCATATTTCTTCTTCTTGTCTGGAAGAAGGAAGACTTTGACGTAAGGGTCTGAGGTGCCGCCCATGTCCAGGGCAGGTAGCTCAGCAGCCTGCAGAACGCCCACCGTGAGCTGTGGAGAGAGAGGGAAGGGCCTGAGTACCTGCTGCCCCAGACCAGGTCCCACCCCAGTCCTGGCCCCACCCGTCCCTCCCAGCGGGGGGCTGCTGGAGCGCAGGCCAGGCCCCTGCTGGAGGGCAGACTGGTCTCCATCTCCACTCCCAGAAATTTGGGATGWTGTTTGGAGAACCTGAAGTTGAGAGATGAGTTGCTTTACCTGAACTTGGTGGGCAGGTTAATAGCAGAGTCCCCCTGGAACCTCCCTAGATCACATGGTGGCCATGCCAGGGTTGACACCCAGGGATATACCCCCTGTGGCTTCCAACTTGCCCTCTCCATGGAAAGGGACAACCTCTAGAATCACTGCGTCTATCCCCACTCTGCCCCAAGAACCAAGCCCCGCCTCGCCTGTCCCCGCCAGCCCCACCCACCTGGTTCGCCTGAAAATCATAGTCCAAGGAAAACTGCAGTTTGCCCAGGTTCTCCGGCTCCTTCTCCTCCTCCCCTTCRCCTTCCCCCTCGGTCAGGCCCGTCTCATTGTCATCGTCATCCTGGGGACCTGAGGGTGGGGAAATGGGTTAAAAGGAGAGAAGAGAGCAACTTGGCTCAGCAGGAGGTGACGGGAACCTGGCCCCTCTGTGCCAGACCCTGAGCCAGAGCTGAGTGGGGCCATGAGGGAAGGTGGCGTGGACGCCGCTGCCCCCCAGCCCTGCATTGGGAAGCCAGGCTCTGGGCTTGGTGCCTCGCTCCCCTCCAGGAGCACAGTGCCAGGTGGCCAGGAGCTCTGCCACGTGGCAGAGCTTGCTTCTGGAGGCAGGGGACTCACTTCTGTCACAAGAACATTCCCCCACACTTTCCCCAGCTCGGACCCCTCTCCCCATCCTGGGCAAGACATACCAGCAGGGCATCCCAGGCCAGCAGGAGCAGGGTGCGTCCACAGAGGAGGGAAGAGAGGAGAGAAAGTGATGTCAGAGAAAAGCCTGTGGCTCAAGCCAGCCCCTGATGTCACCGCCACAAGGTGAGCTCAGGACGACTAGCCCATGTCACTCTTGGACACACACACACACATACACACACACACACACGTGTGCACACACACACACACACACACACACACACACTGCAGGCTGCTTCTGGCCCGTGTACACACATGCACATAAGCACTCAAGACCACGATGACTTCTGGTCAAATTCTTGAGGCTGCCTCTTCCTTTCAACCTCCATCCTGGTTCCTTGAGTGAGAAATGCCACCGGTCACCTCCAATGAAAACATGGGGACCGTGATGCACACAGGGGCCTCTGTAAACTTGAGGCTTTGGCCTATAAGGGACCTTTTGAGGCTGACCAACACCAACAGACAGTGGTGAATCAAATTAAATTATTATGATGCACCACGCACCCCTGTAATCCCAGCAACTCGGGAGGCTGAGACAGGAGGATCGTGAGTTCAAAGTCAGCCTCAGCAACTTAGGCACTAAGCAACTCAGGGAGACACAGAAAAAGAGCTGGGGGTGTGGCCCAGTGGTGAAGTGGCCCTGGGTTCAATTCCTAGTACCAAAAAATAAATCACAGTTATTCTGATGAGTCATGATTCCATTCGCCCCTGACCTGGTGCCTGAAGACCTTTCTCCCGGCTCATTCAACTCCTCACCCCGGCCCAGCCCAGCCAGATGCCGCCAAACAGGCACCTGCTGTCCTTCAGTCTGTCCTGGCGGGAAAACACAGGGTCACCCACAGTGTCCTCCTGGTGACGGAGGGGTCTGTCTTGCCCTCCTGTGTTCCAGGGGCTGCCTGGGATGGGGGCCTGGCTCTCTCCCTTCTCAGGGATGAGCTCATGCTGTCACTGGGTAAGCTCCCCTTGCCACTAGCAGACGGTGGATGAGGTTACCCTAGATGCAGCCCACAGAGCCCCGTGGAGTCTGCAGGAGGAGCCAGCTTAGCCATGGCAGCCCGGGAGCCACCCCGTGGCGGCCAGCAGACGCCCGGCCACGCTTGCCTACCTGGCCCCCCTTCATGTCCTTCATGTTCATCGCGTTCTTCATGCCTTTGCCCTTCTCCTTCTTGTTCTTCTTCTTCTTGCAGCAGCATTTCTTGCAGATGCAGAAGCAGCAGGTGAGGATCAGGAGGCCCCCGACCACGGCGATGGCGATCAGAGCCCAGGGAGGCACTGCCCACAGAGAAGAGCCCCGGTCAGCACACTGGGCCTCGCAGCCCGGACCCCACAGCGCTGGCAACACAGGGGCCCGTGACCCCCACCCCAACACCCACGTTGTCCCTTTCTCAAGCCACGTGTCCATGCATGGTTTGCAGAGTTGCGGTGCTCGGGTGACTGTCCAGCAAGGCCCTGCTCTTCCCCAGCCTGTGGCTCTGGTGGAGGAGAGAGCGTTGGGTGCTGCTCAGAAGAAGACCAGCTCGGCTCCATTAACAGGAGTGTGTCTACTTTGATCCTCGGAGAAGCTCACGCTGGAACGGATGGGCTGGTCCTTATCACACCCGTGTGAAGGAAGAGTCCCTTGGCCCCACCACTAGTGTGAAGAGGGCTGACTCAGGGACAGAGGCTCTTTCAGGTTCTGGCCACCAGGAAGCCTGGGCTTTGCAAGGTCAGGTGTTCGCAGCGGGGGTGGGCTGCTCTCCGTGGTCCTGAAGCACCGGGTCTCACCAGTGTGGCTGCTGGGCCTGTGCACACAGCCTTGGCCAGAGTTCAGAAAGCAGCGGGGCTTTTATTTTCCATATTTCAAAATGAAGTGGTTTTACTATACTACCGAAAACTATGATTTCTACAAAATTTTTCCTTTTAAAATAATGTTTTAAGTTGTAAAATATTTTCCCCTTGCTGGGAGTTGAGGCACGTAAACTAATCTCCTTGGTCACCCCATTAGTTCAAGACCACAGCCCCCTTCCTAAAGGGGTTCTGCAGAGAATCCAGGCTGAGACCCACGCTTCAGGAAGCAAACCCATCCCAGCTCTGCCCTGCCCACAGGCCCCACCCAGAGTCCCCTCTCAACCCCCAGGGCCACTCACAGGGGATCTTGTTGATCTCGTTGAAGAACTTGTCCTTCAGCTTGGCGAACATGTCCTCCTGGCTCTCCCCCGCGGCCCCGCCCCCCGTGGAGTTGTCTGCAGGGCCGACTGGCAGCGGGGCAGTAGTGGTGGCAGGAGCCACAATGGGCTCCTGGTTCCTCTTGAAGATGTTCCTCATGGTGGCAGAGGGGACAGCTGGGGTTGAGAGGAGAAGAGGGCAGGGTGAGCATCCAGGGACCCCGATGCAGAAAGCGCTGCCCAAAGGACCAGAGAAAGCTGTCTTAAGAGCTTGTGTGGACGTTAGAGAGGACAAGGAAAGGGAAGTCAGCAGAGTGGAGAGGACCAGGGGAGGGAGGAGGGGAGGGAAGAGGGAATACTGGGAACGATATTGGCCAAGTTACACCGTCATACTGAGTGCACGTATGAATATGTAACCACAAATCCCACCACTACACACAACTATGATGCACCAAGAAAAATGCAGAAAAAAGCCAAAAACTATTAATGGCAATCCCTTTAGAGTTCAAAGATGTTCTGTATAACGTTAACACCTGTGCAAAAACACAATAGCCATCACGTCAGTACACATTCAGGGGCTGCGCAAAGTACTCTCCATGTATGACCTCGTTTAATCTAAACAACCAAAGGTATTATTGTTCTCACTTACCAGATGGGGAAACAGAGGTTCAGAGAGGTTAGGAAATCTTCCCAAAGTAATTCAGCTGAACAAGTCGGCTCTCTGACATCTTTGTCGGACTCCAAAACCTAGAAATCTAATCTCTTTCCCAGATTCACTTAAGTCTAACCCCGCAGCAGGCCTAGGAAGGGGTAAGGTTTTCAGGGAGGTCTCTTTCGGCTTCTGTCCTCTTTGACTTCCATGACAGTCACTTTACCTTTATTCTTTGCCTGTCCAAACAAGGCTCACGCACAATGCTCCTACTCACTGCCCGGCTCTGTCACCTCCCCTGTCCTCTAGGCCTCTCTCCTCAGCCCTCTTCCCTCCCTCCCCGTCTCCCCCAGCACCCACCTCTTCCCCCATGGCTGGACCTCCATCCCTCGCTATGCCCCTCCTCCACCTGCAAGAACTGGATTCACTAATAATAATGTGACCCAAGATGACTGCAGAAAATCTGGGGATGGAGGCAAAATGGGGGATGAAGGAGAGAGAAGAGGGGAGAGGAAGGAAGGGGAGGGAAAGAAGGAGCAAAGGAGGAAGGAGAGGCCACGTTCCTACCATCCAGAGAGCAAAGGTGAGCATTCAGTATATTTCATGCCACTATTTTTTTCTGGCTGTTTGACTTGTTGAGACCACGCTATATATAATTTGGTGTTCTGCCTTTTGTTTTTTACCTAAAATATTATCAGAAACCTTTTACTTTATCCTTAAATTTTTCCTTTTTCATTAAATAGCTAAATTATATTCCACTGTAGAGTAATTGGTTAGTCAATGTCAAAATGTCTGGACGTTTAGATAGTTTCCAACTGTTTGCTAGCAAAAATATTACTATGTGGCTGAGTATGTAGCTTATTGGTTGGGCTCTTGCCTAGCATGTGCAAGGACCCAGGTTCAATATAACACACACACACACACACACACACACACACACACATGCTATAACACCCACCACCTGGATTTTTTATATTTTGTTTTGAGACAGGGCCTTGTTAGTTTGCAGAGACTGGCCTCAAACTTGCAATCCTCCTGCCTCAGCTTCCTGAGTTGCTGGGATTACAGGTACATGCCACCATGCCTGGTTGAGGTTATATTCTTGAGTTTCTGCCTCACCCCCAATCGTGTGCCCACATAGTATTTTTGCTTCTCATGACTGGGTGGGTATGTGCCTCCTCCCTCCACACCAAGCACACCGTGGGTTCCAAGGAGGAGTCCATTGGCTGCTGCACCCCAGGAAATCCAGCAGTGTAGACACAGAGGCAGACCAGCTCATAAGAATGAACAGCATCCGTTTCACCTAATGACAATTTACCATTTGTTTTTGGCTGAGGATTGAACTCAGGGGCACTTTATCACTGGGCTATATTCCCTGTCCTTTTTATTTTTTGAGACAGGATCTCACTAAGTTGTGGAAGGCCTAAGTTGGCTGTGAACTTGTGATCCTTCTGCCTCAGCCTCTCGAGTCACTGGGATTGATTACGGGTGTGAACCACCACACTGGACTCCAACAATTTACCATATATTTGAAATTAAAACAAGCATGGAAATACACATGGAGTTACAAAAACAAGCATGGAATTGTAGAGCAGGATGCACACAGAGTTTTATTTTATTTCATTTATTCTGTACCTGGGATAGAATCCAGGAGGGCTTAACCACTGAACCACACCCCCAACCCTTTTTTTAATTTTTATTTTGAGACAAGTTCTCACTAAGTTGCTTAGGACCTTGCTAAGTTGCTGAGGCTGACCTTGAATTTGCAATCCTCCTGCCTCAGCCTCCTGAGTCGCTGGGACTACAGGTGACCCCCACGTGCCTGGCAGCAGGAGAATTTTAAAGGAAAAATGTGAGACTGTTCTGGTCGGGTCAATTCTCCACTGCGCTGAGTTCTGAGGGAGAGTTTTAGAGGTTCGAAGTTCTGTCTTTTAGGGCCCCCTGGACCTGCTCTCGGGCTGGCAGGCCCCTCAGGTTCTCTGAGAACTGCAGTCAGCCCATCACCAGAGAGAAATGAGAGCCAGGTATGCCCACAGCCTGCCCAACTGCCCAGGACCTTTCAAAAATAATAAATAACAGCTCTCCCAAGTTTATAATTCATCCACCATATAATTTACTCATTTAAAGTATTCAGTGGTTTCAGGGTGGTCACAGAGTTGTGGAACTACAGCTATGAGATAATTTTAGGACATTTCCCCTCCCCCAAAGGAAACCCCATGCCCACCAACTGCTACTCCCCACGCACACTCTCCCCCCAGCTCTCGCCACCACCCATCTTTCCATCTCCTTAGATTTGCCTCTTCTAAACATTTCATATAAATGGTTTCCTAAGCCAGGCGCAGTGGCGCACACCTGTAATCCCAGAGTTTGGGGAGGCTGAGACAGGAGGATTGAGAGTTCAAAGTCAGCCTCAGCCACTTAGAGAGGCTCTAAGCAGTTTAGGGAGACCCTGTCTCTAAATAAGATGTAAAAGGGGGCCAGGGATTTGGCTCAGTGAGCCCAGGAGCTCAATCCTCGGTATCCAAAAATAAGTAAATAAATAGATGATAGATGGATAAATGGATTCCTTACACACGCAACCTTTGGGACTGGCTTCTTTCATTTAGTATGATGTTTTCGGGGTTCACCATGGTGTAGCGTATATCAGTTCTTTATTTCTATCATTGCCCAATAACACTCTATTGTATAAACAGGACACATTTCTGTTTATCTCTTCATCCATTTAAGGACCTCCGGGTTAGTTCCACTTTGGGGTTATCATGAACAGTCCTGCTATGAACATCCACGTGTGAGTTTTAGTGTGGACATGGATTTCCCTGTCTCTTAGATACACACCGAGGACTGAGACTGCTGGGTCGTGTGGTTACTGTGTTTGACATTTTGAGGAATTAGCCAACTATCTTGCAAGGTGGTTGCAAGGAATTGATGTTCTTTTCAGCAACGGGTGAGGGCTCCACGTCCTCCATATCCAGGACAATACGTGTCATGCCTTTTGTTTACAGCCTTCTTAGTGAGGGATGAAGCTGTATCTCACTGTGGCTTTGATTTGCATTTCCCTGATGACTAATGAGGCTCAACATCTTTTTATGTGCTTATTAGCCATTTGATTGTTTTCTTTGGAGAAATGCCTACTCAAGCCCTCTGCCAATTTTTTAATTGAGTGTTTGTCTTTTTATTATTGAGTTGTAAGAGTTCTTTACATATTCTGGATACCCGTTCCTTGTCAGATGGTAGAGAGTGGGTGGGGGAGGTTCCAGTTTAACAGATTCCCAGCCCCTGCACACACCTCTTCAGGAGCCAGCAGCACGCCCACCCTGTGGGGGGACCCAGAGGGTTATCACATATACGATTTTTGATGATGTCCAGTGTATTTCTTTTGTTGCTTATGGTTTTGGTGTTGTATCTAAGAAACAATCACATAACCCCAGGTCACCGAGATTTTCTCCTATGTTCTCTTACAGGATTTTATAGTTTTACATTAAATCTGTAGTTCAATTTGAGTCATTTCTTGTGCATAGTGTAAAGAAAGAGGTCATCCCAGGATCCCAGGCACAGTGGTGCACACCTGTAATCCCAGAGGCTCGGGAGTCTGAGGCAGGAGGATCGTGAGTTCAAAGCCAGCCTCAGCAAATTTGTGAGGCCCTAAACAACTTAGTGAGACCCTCCTCAAAAAATAAAAAGGGCCGGGGTGATTAAGTGCCCCTGTGTTCAATCCCCAGTGTATTAAAAAAGGAAAGGGTCCAAATTCATTATGTGGATATTCATTTGACACAGTGCTATTTATTGAAAAGACATTCTTTCCCCACTGAATTTTCTTAGTACCCTTGTAAAATACAAGCTAACCATAAATGCGATGGTTCATTTCCTGGACTCTGAACTCGGTTGCATTGATCTGTCTGTCTCTCCTATGCCGTGTCACATGCTATCTTGAAACTGTTTTGAAATCTGGTGGTGTGACTCTTTCAACTTTATTCTTTTTATAAGATTGTTTTAGCTATTCTAGGCCCCTAGCATTTCCATAGGATTTTTAGGGATCAGCTCATTTATTTATATAATATATAAGATAACTAACTGGGATTTGGGTAGGGATTGTGTTGAATCTGTAGACCAATGGAGGGATGATTGCCATCTTTTTTTCTAATTTGTTCTAATTAATTATGCAGGACAGTAGAATGCACTTTGACATATCATACACAAATGGAGTATAACTTCTCATTCTTCTGGTTGTACATGATGTAGAATCACACAGATTGTGGAGTCTTATGTGCACAGAGGGTAATACCGTCTGACTCATTCTACTATCCTTCCTACCCCACTCCCTCTTCCAGTCCCTTCACTCCCCTCTGCCTAATCCAAAGTACCTCTATTCTTCCCTAGCCTCTCCCCTATTGTGAATTAGCATCCACACACCAGAGAAAACATTAGGTCTTTGGTTCCTTGGGATTGGCTTACTTTGTTTAGCATGATAGTCTCCAGCTCTATCCATTTACCGGCAAATGCCATCATTTCATTCTTCTTTAAGA